GCGCGCGAAGGAGAGGGAACTGCGCCTGCGCCCCAGCCCAACATGGCGGCCTCCAGGCTTCTCTGGCGGACAGGTGGAGGGGGAACCGCACTCGGCGGGGATGGTGGCGGGGTCGCGCTGGGACGGGGCTCTGGGCCCTTGGCCCGGAGAGGGAGACGGGGCTTCGGCGCCGAGCGGGGTGGGGGTCCGCAAGCCGGGCGAGTCGCGGGTCTCTGGCGCTGGCTTTCCTGGCGCATACAGGCAGTCCTCAACATACGATCCCAACGGAGCCCCAAATTTCTGTTGCTGAATGAGGCATTAAGTGAGCTTCGCCCCGTTTTGCGACCTTTCTTGCCACGGTTGTGAAGTGAATTCCCCCCCCCCATTGACTTGGCTTGCCAGAAGGTCGCAAAAGGGGACTGCAACCGTCATAAGTACGTGACAGTTGCCAAGCCGCCGATCACGTGACTGTGGGGAGGCTACAAGGGTCGTAAGCGTGAAAAACGGTCACGAGTCACACTTTTCAGTGAGGTGGTGGTTTTGAACGGTCCCTAAACGGGCTGTTGTAAGTCGAGGGCTACCTCTACTTGCTCAGCCTGCCTGTCTCTTCCCCCCAGCCCACTTTAAGATGCTGGACTCCAATTCCCAGAATGCCCAGCTAGGGTGAAATCCAGCATTTTAAAGCAGGCAAAGAGGAGACATGGGGGCTGCAGAATGTCAGCTTCAGGAATCCCTACGGTTGTGGGGTTGAGAGACTGGTACACCCCACCCCCCATTCCTATGATTGACGTAAGACACATTGGGCTCGCCTGCTTCCTGGGAGCTCACCCCTTTCACCCCTCTCTCTTCCACATAGCAGCCCTTCTTCGGCCCAGCAGGTGTGGGACCGTCGTGAAATCTACATCCGGCCTCCTGAGGCATCACGGGACCCTCTCAGTTGCAGCAGCGAACCAGCCACAGGATGGTAAGTCCAGGTCTGGGGGCTCAAAACCATGAGGAAAGCAGCAGAGGAACCTGGAGCAAGGTGTGGGGGATGGAAACTGGAGTGCTTGCCCGTGGGGAAACTGAGGCCTGATTCTAGTGGGTGCGTCTCCTTGGAGCTGTTCTTGGTTTTTCTCTTGCAGATGTACATGTATGCATCCGAAGTAGACTGTGGTTTCTCTGTGTCATATATGTGGGTATATGCATATTTATGTATTTTGTCATGTTGATGTAGTTTATGTAGGTGGTGACCCTTTGAGAGCTGTATGCAACGAAATTCATTTTAATGTATGCCGATGAGTGGACATTCATAGTGACAATAAAGTTATTCCTATTCCCTATTCTATTCTATTCTGTTTTTCTCTTCTCTTCTCTTTTGTTATTCTATTCTATACTATTCTTATTCTATTCTATTATTATATATCTATTATTCCCATTCCCTATTCTCTTCTGTTATTCTCTTCTGTTATTTTATTCCTATTCCATTCTATTCGTGTTATATGATACAATACGGTACTGTTATTCTACTCCTATTCTAGATATCGAGGAGAAGCTTCTGCGGGAGCCATTGAAGCATGCAGACTTCTTCAATCTGCAGGAGCTCTTTTCTCTCCAGGAGCTCTTCGACGCTCGAGTCCACCTTGGCCACAAGAAGAGCAGCCGCCACAGGTCAGTTCTCCCAGGGCTGGCAAACCACGACAGAGCAAAATCCCTGGCTAGGCTCACACAGAGCCTCAGCCCGGATGGCCATGTTTTGGTTAGGCCCCCCAAAAATAAACCCAGGTTGCATGCAGATTTGGTACCTGCATTCCCACAACCATGGTTATCACCAACTGTGGCCTAGACTGGCATGTTGTTTGAATCCAGCCTTTGGGTCAGAGCTTTGGAGCTAAGCATGGCTCACACAGCTTTCCTGCCTTTCTAACTAGGATTGTTCTCAAATTTTCCTGAGATTCAGTTTGGGTCTTTCAGCATGTAACTTGATGGGTAGGTGTGTTTGACTTCCTTCCCACCCCACTCACTAAGATAAATTGTAGTTGGATATTTTGGGGGATGAGATGTTATCAGTTTCAGTCATAGCTGTGTGAATAGAGTGAATAGTGTTAATTCAGTGAAGCCCTATTTGGTTAACTGGGAATCTCTACATAGAAAATTATACAGCGCAAAACGATCTTGTTCAAGGGTGAGATTTGCACATTCCTGGGGAATGTGCTACTGTTTATATAGCTATACTGCTTCTAATCCGGGGTGGGATTCTACTGGTTCCGACTGGTTCAGGGTTGACTCCATCCTTCCGAGGTAGGTAAAAGGAGGACCCAGATTGTTGGGGACAAGAGGCAACTCTGTAAACGGCTTAGAGAGGACTGTGAAAGCACTGTGAAGCGGTATATAAGTCTAAGGGCTATTTCTATTGCTTTATCTGGCTTGGGGATGGCTTCAGACAGGCTGTTCGTTCCCTCTGCAGATACATGGTGCCGTATCTCTTCGGCTCCCGCCTGGAGCATGATATCATCGACCTGGAGCAGACGGCGCAGCACCTCCAACTGGCCCTCAATTTCACGGCCCACGTTGCCTTCCGCAAAGGCATCATCCTCTTTGTCAGCCGCCATCGCCAGACGTCCCACCGGGTGGAGACCGTGGCCAAGGAGTGCGGGGAGTACGCCCACACCCGCTACTGGCAGGGCGGCTTGCTGACCAACGCCCCCATCCAGTACAGCGCCGGCGTCCGCCTGCCGGACCTCCTGATCTTCCTCACCACTTTCAACAACGTCTTTGAGCCTCACCTAGCCATCCGGGACGCGGCCAAGATGAGCATCCCCACCGTGGCTGTGGTGGACACCAATAGCAACCCCTCCCTCATCACCTACCCCATCCCGGGGAATGACGACAGCCCCTCGGCCATCCACCTCTACCTCTCGCTCTTCAAAACCACCATCCTGAGGGCCAAGGAGAAGAGGAGACACCTGGAGGCGTTATTCCGGCTACAGAAGAAGTCTGCCAGGCCCAAAGAGGCCCCTCCGATGCCCAGTTCCTAGGGTGGAGGAGGAGAATGGGCATTCCAACTCCTCAAGCTAGGATTGAGAACACACTGGGGCTTGTCGTCTCTACATACTTGCTGGACTGAATGTGATAACCCGGGACATGGCACAAAGACAACACAGTCACATAAGAAAAACCCCTTTAATACCTCCAACTTTGTCCCCAATGTCCAGGTTACTTTCAGCTGGAGAAAAAAACTCTCCCAAGTCTTTAAGTGGAGGAAATTCAGTCCGAAAGCAAAGTACATATAAACTGTAAATAAAAGTCTACACAAACCATGCTGCAGTAATTAACTTGACAGGGTAGGATAAGGAATTGCAGACTTGAAAGGCCAGCAAAACACATAAAGTTGGGAAAACACCAGGAACTCAGATAAGCCTTGACAATAACAGATAACTGACGAGTTGCTTCTAACAAGTTGCTGTGCGCAACCTCCCTTCTCAAACCCTGTGTTCCCAACTGCAGCTAATGAAGGGAATCAGGGCCCTTTCCTCCCCTGAAAGCCACACAACTCACGTTGCTCCCTTCTCTGTTCCTCCCTGCGTACCCTAGGATGAAGAGGGGGTGGGCCTGGGTCTTCCTCTGAATTCCCTCTGCCTTGTTCTACCTCACACTCCCACTCCCTGTCAGCTGCTCAGCCTCTCCCTCGGAATCAGGTTCTGACAGGGGCCTGACACTGAACCTCCCATTTCTTAGCCTGTCTCTGCTACAAGGTTGGGAAAGCAGAGGTTTGCCGATCACAGCCTCTCTTCCCATTAACTCTTGGGGATGCTGGGGCCTGTAGTTCATCATTAGGAGGCCCAAAGGTTCCCCCACCCGCCTTCTGATCTAGGCGTTGCCTTTCCATTTCAGTCTTCTCTCTTTTGACTTGCTTGTTTTTTAAATTATAAATGTCACTGGACATCAAACTGAACCAGGTGCACGAGAATTGGCAACTTGAAGGAATAAATTGGACAGTATTTTGGTTTCGCTAGTTGATTGGTTTACATGTCACAGCTTGGTAGAAGACGCATCTTGGCGGTCAAAATGCCAATTCAGGAGTTATGATTAAATTATTATTAAATTATTCTCCAAAGCACCAGAGGGCAGGACAAGAAACAATGGATGGAAACTAACCAAGGAGAGAAGCAACCTGGAATCCAGGCAAAACTTTCTGATAGTGAGGACGGTTAACAGATGGAAAAGCTTTGCCTTTAGAAATTGTGGGTGCTCCATCACTGGAGGATTTTAAGAAAAGTCTAGATAGTCATTTATCTGCAATGATATAGAGTTTCTGCTTGACCAGGGGGCTGGACTAGAAGACCTCAAAGGTCCCTTCCAGCTCTTTTCAAGAATCATAATAGAGCTGAAAAGAGGGTGGAGTGGAGACCCTGGGGCTGCTTGCAACCATTGAGACCCATTACAACCCTTTGGCTTTGCTAATTCCCTGGAGGGCAAGTTTCACTTTAATTTGTTGGATGGAGCCATATTCCCTCCCCCCCAAAGTATATAATGCAGGTAGTCCTTGAATTATGACCTTAATAGAGCCTTCCTTCACCCTCAGGTTTTTTTTTTCCCCTTTCGTCGGAGTAGTTGTGCACATTAATTAAAAATTTAACTACAGGAGCAAACTTTTGACAGCATTGGGCAGAACATTCAAAGTGTTAGAAAACCCGGAGTATCCTGGAAATATCCTAGGCAGGTTTTGTTTTTCTAAGTGGCGTTGTTTTTGAATTGTAAATCAGTAATAAAATCTAATTTCTACAAAAGGTCCACATCTGACATCTCCATTAATTAAGTGTTTCTGAATTTCACTCTTCCCAGAATAAGCAATATAGTTTAAAAAAAAAAAAAAAGCTGGCGAAACAGGAGCCTTTTTTGTTCCTCGAGGCTTCCCGTCGATCCCGTGTGCGCGGGAGCTCCTTGGTGGCTCCGCCCACTTCCTCCCTCTATATAAGGCGAAGACCACGTGCGTTCGGCCATTTGTTGCTGGGTTCGGGAGGGCGTGCAGGCAAGGCCGCTGCTGGTACAACTCTTCGCTTTACTTTTAACGTGCTTCGCCGTTCGGAGAACGCTGGTGCCGGGATGGTGTAGGCAGGGTGTGGACTGCAACTACCATCGTCCCCAGCCGGCTGGGGAAGATGGGGCCCGCCACCTCCCCAAAAGGGAGCTAGAAATGGGTCTCGATCGCCTTCGGAGTAAGGAGGTAGAGGTAGAAGGGGCTTCATTGTCACTTTAAATGGGGAGGTGGGGGAAACGACTTCTGAAGCAGCCCCTCTGCTTCCTGCTCACCTCGTTTCCCTCCTGCTTTCTGCTTTACTTCTGTCAGAATTGGCGGCGACATCTTCGGAATAACGGAGTTGGAAGGGACCTTAGAGGTCGTCTAGCCCAACCCCGCTGCTCAAGCAGGAGAGACCGATACCATTCTGAACAAATGGCTATGCAGTCTCTTCTTCCAAGACCTCCGCGATGGAGCACCCACAACTTCCTCAAGCCAAGCTGTTCCACTGGGTTGGTTATTCTCATTTTTAGTTTAGTTTATTGTCATTGCACTTTGTACAAGGAAATTAAATACCGTCTTCAGTGTACATTATGACTATGAAAACAAACACTAACACCTCCTTCACATTCTATACATTGAATTGAAAACCCCTGATATTGCATTAATATTGCACAATGCAGTAGAATTCAACAGAGCTACAGCCCTGGGATAGAAGCTGTTTTTCAGCCTATCTGTCCTTGTTTTTATTATTATCCTGTACCGTCTGCCAGATGGTAATAGTTCAAAAAATGTCCCTAGGATGAGATGGATCCATGAGGATGTTTTGAACTTTCTTAAGGCTACAGGAGCTATAAAGCTCTTCCAAATGGAGGGCATTGGAAAATGTCTCCTTAGTTCTAATTTGAATTTCTCCTTGATAAGTTTGCCATCCATGGTTTCCTGTCTGGCCTTCAGGTGCAGTTAAGCTTCTCCAAGTGTTTGTGCCATGAAGCCTCACTTGGATTATAAACAGTTGTGGGTGTGAGTGGCTGGTTTGGACTCACTTTTTTTCTCTCATTCTGTTGCAGGATTGGAGCTAAGAAGCCTCCACTTGATCAGAGGTGAGTTGATTTTCTGGGAGATCCTTGCCCCTCATTCAGGGCTTGCACCTGCAATTGTTTCAGCTAACCAGCTTTTCAGAAGTAACCAGGTAGAAAAGAGGAAACAGCAGCAGGGCCTTGGCCAGAGGTCTCCAAACTTGGCAACTTTAAGACTTGTGGACTTCAACTCCTAGAATTCTCCAGCTGGCTGGAGGCATAGCTGGCTGGAGAATTCTGGGAATTGAAGTCCACAAGTCTTAAAAGTTGCCAAGTTTGGAGGCCTCTGGCCTTGACAGTGCCTTGTAAGACCAGCTCACAGGATATGGAGCTGGTGGGGCTTTATAGCAAAACAGAGATTTTTAAAGGAGCAGAGTGTCATAGCTACCTGCAAATGTGCAAAATGACTATAAGGGAGGCAGCTACAGGTGTCCTGTTCTCAAAGGTATTCCCCGGATTGGGGCTGCCCCTACAGGCGTTGCAGGCATGGCTTCTGTGCTGTGCTTGTGTCAGTAGGTGGCACAGAGAAGCAGGCTAGGTCTACGCTCAGTGCTTTGATGGGTGAGCACTCAGAATGATTACTAGCCTGACAAAACTGCAATTTTCTTTTCATCCTTTGAGGGGGTTCTAGTGGCTGATATTATTTAAGTCTGGATTCGATACTAGGAAAGGAGGAGGACTAAGTTTGTAAACTATCTGAGGGTGCTAAGTTCAGCTTTTTCTCAGATGAATGAGAACACTGCCATTTCTAGTACTTTACTGCTCTTAACTTTAGAAAATGCAGGTCAACCTTAAAAAGTATCAGGTTTTTGTTCATACACGATGTTAGGGATTTTCAAAAAACATGTTTTTGTTGAATCATTGGCACAGTGAAATTAACTAAGCCGCTTTGTTTATAGGGACATGATGCTGGCTCTTCAACACATGTTTAGAATGAGCTCTGAAAGGTAAGATTGTAAGTGTTCAAATGAATTTGGATGCTAACAACTGGACAGATTTTGCATTTTGCATTCTTTAAGACAGGGAAAGTTTGAATTAAGCACTTTCCCCCTTCCAAAATTATTTTTTTAATATCTTCATCTGTTGATTTGAAGTTTTTATTCTCTCTTGGTCACAAACATTTTCTGAGCATCGTAAGGGGGGTTAATGAAGTGGAAAATTATTGAATTTGAATATGGAAATTCAATTCCAATCGTTATTCTCTTTGGGTCTTGCTCAGTTCAGCAAGTCGAAAACTTGGGACTGTTCCGACCCATGCTGGCGAGGCAGGTATTAAAGTCCAACCTTGGAAACTTCTTAAGAACTCTGGATTTCAACTTCCAGAACTCATCAGCCAGCCATGCTGCCTGGAGAATTTTGGGAGTTTGGAAGTTCACAAGTCTTAAAAGTTATACATTTGCTGCCTATGTTCATATTTTATATATGCCTGTATTATAAATTTGCTGCCTCTATTTCTGTGTACTTCTCTGAAGAAAAGCCTCCAAACAGGTTTTTATTTTACATCTTTGCAGAGTAGTTTTATGGTTGCAAGGATTGGTCTTAAGTCTGCCACAAAAATTCTTCCATTTTATTAAGTCTGGAAGGAAGAAATATTTGATGAAAAGTTAACATTGTACACTTAGCTGAAGCATTTAATGTTTTAATTTATTCTTGCATCTCATTGCTCCTTTATTTTACCTTGCTTCATTGATGACTTAAGACATACTTATATGCAGTTCTGTTCAAGCCATGTACATTATGTAACATGACTGTACTTTTCTAGGTATTGGCCAAAATGAAGATGTTTTGTCCTGAACTTTACAAAGGAGCTGAGAGGCCATGATGTCCAACTCCCAACCAGGCAGATGGAGGTCAGCATTCCTTTGGGGCAGGGTTGATTTTATTGAAATGCAACATTTTTATTATAAATTATTATGAAATTTATTTGATGTTCCTTCTGTCCAGCAGCATCATGGACGCAAGCGGCGGGAATGAGATGAGACTTAGTTCTGAGAAGTTTCCAAGGAGTCTGGCCTCCATTCTTCCTTCAGGGACCTTCCTCTTCAGTTTCACTTCAGAGAGGCTCCAATTCAGCATCTCTTTGGGTCACTTGGGTTCTTTTCTCCAGCCTCCATATGCACTTTTGGAGAATCGTCACTTGGGAAATGTGATTTTGAGTGAGCCAGGTTCTGAGCCTCCTTGAGAGCACTGGCTTGGTTTGTAGAACACGCTCCTTTGTCAGCTGAGCTTAGTGGAGGATATTCAGGTAATCCTCGAGTTAAGAATGTAATAGAGCCTGCCAGTTACATTGGTAACACAAACATTTGTTTGAATCACGTTAAATGAATGTGATCACTCCCTGCTTTCCCGAATGCATTTGTTAATCGAATGTGCAGGTCATTAAATGCACATGAGGTATCTCAGAGTGGGGAAGAGATGTGGGGCCTCCAATGGGATGGGGGTACTGACTACGTAGCTTGTAACGTTCACTAAGGGGACGCCAGAGATTACGTATACAGAGCAGCATAGTTGTCTGAAGACAGAGGCGCCTCCAGGTGTATTGCAAATATTGAATCCTCCGGGTGCAGCTCTAAAAGCAGCCTGAAAGGGAAACAGTGGCTGATCCATCCCTTACTCATCCGGCTTGGGTTTATTGTCCTTCCTCAAATATAAATTCTGGAATTAAATCCATTGTTCTAGTGGCCAATGCAAAACGGAACGGAAATAGGATTATGAAGAAGTTGCAAATAAATGTTTTTTCCTCAAATCGGAATGGCCTCTTTGTTTACAATGACTCCTGCAAGTTTTGATTCTGCCCAGTGCTTCTCCTACCTGGGCTGCTTTCTAGGTCGGGGGAGGGCAATGGCAATGGTTTGCAATGGCTTCCATGAATGTGGCTGGCTCACACGATGCGGACTGCCCCCTGCTCCCCAGGATGGAAATACGGATGCTGGGTTTTTCTCTGCCCAGCACAGGTTGCCAGGGCCTGGACAGCTCAGTCCCCGAAAAGGGGGAGAGCAGGCACCTCCCCAAAACAGCTTGTCCCTCCTTTGCCCCTAAAATGCCTTTTGGCTGTAAGCAAGGAATTTTCCAAGAGTCTTGACAAGCTCATCCCCCAATAGTTGGTTTGTTTATTAGGTTTTTATCCCGCCTTTATTAATTTATAACTAATTCAAGCCAGCGAACATCCATACTACAGGCAGTCCTCAAAATGTACGACCGCAGCTGAACCTAAAATTTACGTTGCTAAGTGAAACAAGTGGGTTTCGCCCCCATTTTATGAACTACTTTGCTACCCGTTAAGTGAACCCACCTTGTCAAAAGGTGGCAAAAGAAACCTGGGACACTGCCGACCGTCATAAATGTAAACCAATGGCCAAGCACCTGAATTTTGGCCACATGACCATGGGAGTGCTGCAGTGGTCATTAAGCGTGGAAAAAGGGTCACAAGCCACTTTTCAGTGCAGCTGTAACTTTGGTCACTAAAGGAACCCTTGTAAATTGAGGACGACCTGTCCTGCGCTCTCTCCTCTTCCTATTTTGTCCACAACAGCCTGCATAATGTGCACCCTTGGGGGGGGGGGGGAGTGAGCTGAGCAGGTCTGAACACCTTATTTGAACAGCTGGCACCATTCCATGCGCAGTCAGGAGGAGTTTAAGCTCAGTCCTCATCGAAGGATTGGGGGGCATACCAAGGACAAGGAGGCGGTGGGATTCAGCTGGTTCTGACCAGTTCTGGAGAACTGGAAGCGGAAATTTTGAGTAGTTGGGAGAACCGGCAAATCCCACCTCTGACTGGCCCCACCGACCCCATCTCTGCCTCCTGAGTCTCGGGCTGGTCTCTCTTTGTTGCTCTGCACAGGAGAACGGAGCTGGAAAGCAGGTTAGTGGGGTGGGGAGGGAAGGGGGATTTTGCAGTCTCCTTCCCCTGCCATATCACACCCACCGAGCCATACCCACCAAATGGGTAGTAAAAATTTTTTTGAATCCCGCTGCTGGAGACAACCGAGGGTCAGGATACCCCAAATCTTGATCCTCCGCTGTACTCTTGGAAAGTTTGACACGGCTTGTCTGTTAACAAGGATTGTTAGCCCGTGGTTCCGTAGGAGCCACAGTTCTGAATCTCCTTTGGGCTGCATTCTTTCGTCTCCTGAGCTCCTTGCCTCGGTAACCCCAACCGTCCTTGTACTGCACCCCATCACGTGATCGCAATTCAGGCACTTGTCAACCGGCTTGTGTTTACGATGGTTACAACATCCCAGAGTCAGGCTGCTTAATGGGGTGGCAAAAAAAAAAAGCTATAAAATCAGGCACGGCTCATTCGACAAGGATTACCTCTATAGCTGGCTGGCTCGGCTCTCCTTCCAGGAAAGATAATCAGAGCGGTTATCTTTTTAAAATAAGACGTGAAGACCCGCTGAGGTTGAAAAGCCTGGGTCTGCAGTCAGCCTGGAGGCAAACCGAGCCTTTTTGTGTTCTGAGTGCAGATTCTTCCTTTTGAGCAAGCTAACTGCAGTGGCAGGCAAAAAAGCCAATGCAATCCTAAATTGATTAATGGGGATACTATCAAGATCAAGGGAGGTACTACTACCACTCTACAAAGCCTTAGTAAGGCCACATCTAGAGTACTGCATCCAGTTTTGGTCACCACACTATAAAAAAGAGGTTGAGACTACAAAAAATGCAGAGAAGAGCAACCAGGATGATGAGGGGACTGGAGGCTCAAACATACAATGAACAGTTGCAGGAACTGGGCCTGGCTGGTCTAGGGAAGAGAAGGACCAGGGGAGACAGGAGAGCAGCCTTCCAATATTTGAGGGGCTGCCACAGAGAGGAGGAAGGGGGTCAAGCTGTTTTCCAAAGCACCTGAAGGTCAGACAAGGAATAATGGATGGAAACTGAACAAGGAGAGATTCAACCTGGAAATAAGGACACTGAACACTGAAGAGCAATCAACCCATGGAACAGAAGTTGCCTTCCAAATTTGTAGGAGCTTCATCCCTGGAAGCTTTCAAGAAGAGACTGGACTGTCGTCGGTCAGAAATGGTGTAGGGTCTCCTGCTTGGGCCAAAGGGTTGGACTAGATGACCTAGTTAATCTGTAAGCTCTGAAAGTGGCCTCTTGTCAACAATGGATACCATACACCGGGTTGTTCTATTTAGGGCCTGGTGAATGGACTGCTAATGAGCTGAAAGTGAGCCTGTCTCCCGAAGCTAAGGAATCTTTAATTTTTCAGCTCACGGCAAGAAATGATGCTCAGTCAGAAAAAATTCTGCCTTTGGCTTCATCACACAATACACGTAACCTGATTGTTGGATTCAGCCTTATTTGGGGGGGCTGATACAACGCGTTGCATTTCAGTTAACTAAAGGAACCGAAATCCACGTGTTACAAAACGAGCTGTTTGGAGCCAGCCTGAGGAGTTGGCAGCACGGATCCCACAAAGGATATCCAACCCTTTTGTTTTGAACCGGCTTCCCCAGTTGAGAATCAGCCATTGTGTCCTTGAAGCAAAACCCACCAGAGAGACACACCATTTATTTACATCAGATAGACAACTGACCTCTCTTCGCCTCGGCTACGCTCACCTGGAGATCCCCGTCTGTTCCACAAAAACTGCTTTTCTTTCTCATCCCTCCCCATTACAAAGTTCTCTCCTGTCTGTCTGTGGAGGCTACGTGGCTCCCCCTCGCTCGAAAGCCTTAGAGCTGGGAAGAGGGGAGCCGCTCTCCACCCTGGCCTTGTCCTTAGGCTTCCCGGAGCCCCTCTAGGAATATTGGGTGTTGGAAATTGTCTTCCACAAGAGGGTCTTCAGGCTGTTGAGCACCAGCGAGTGGTGCACCTCCATTTGACTGGCCAGCCCGCTGAGTGTGGTGCACGTCTTCAGCTGCTTCTGCAGTTCCTCCTTCAAGTCACTCGGGGCCCCGTGGAGCAGGTACTCCAGCAGAAGCCCACACACCTTGGCGAGGTTGGGTTGGACCACGTCGCTCTTGCACTGCTTCATGAGCTTGTCGCACGGCGCCACGCAGTCCTTCCCGTAGGTGCAGTCCGTGTTTTGCTCACAGTGACGGCCCTTAAGGAACCTCTGGATGGTCATCTCAGCGGCCACCGTCCTGAGGTCCACCATTTTGAAGTCGTATCTGTTATTGTAGCCCATGTTGGTGAAGCCGGCCTCGCAGATGTAGAAGTTGCCGTAGGTCCCGTGGAAGATCTCCTCCACGAATTCCAGAAGTCCGATAGCGATTTTGGCTCGCCGGGGCCAGGTGGGCAAGGACCACTGGTGGACGACTCTGAGTACGGCAGAAGGCAGCAGCGGCTGCAGGAAAGGAGGAAAGCCCATGGTGTAGAGGGAGGTGTGGTGGATCTTCTCTGTGAGATACAGATCGCCGCAGTGCCCCAAGAGCCTGGGGGTGTGCTCCTTCTCGTGCAGGGAGAAGGTCAGCAGGAAGTCGTTCAGCTGCAGAAGGGCCCAGATGGATTTCGCTTCGGCCAGAGAAAGCTTCCCGTCCCGACTGACGTCAGCCATGGCGATAATCTGGTTCACCAAGTTGGTGAGGGAGGCTTGATCTCCAAGACCAGACTGTGAAAACAAAGAACAATTCAAGACATCTTGTAAGGACCTCACATTACAACCTGGTAAAGCAGGAAGGTACATTTAGACTAGATCTTTGCATGTGTGAATCGGCCCCTTGAGAGACGGCTCCAAGGCCTCCTCCTTGGAATGGAGAGGCACTCACTTTCAAGAAATTCAGGAGCATCTCCCGGAATTCATCCATGGACGTCCCCCGAGTTGGCTTGTTGAAGAGAACCACGTCTCTCCTGGGATCTGCATCCGGGTTGCTGTCGGCCTTCAGGGCTTCTTCCAGGCCACATTTGATAACCACCTCTTTCTCCTTCCAGAGGCCGCTATAGACCTGCAAGATACAACAAAAATGGCGCTGGGGACTGTGTTCGCTACCTCAACCTCAGCAGCTGGAGACTTACAATGTTCATTGTCTTGACTTACGACCATGATTTGAGCCCAGAATTTTGGTTGGTAAGTCCTGACAGTCGCAAAAAGAGTCGACATGTGACCATGCCTGACCTTTTTTGTGTGTGGCCGGTGTTAAAATGAACATACCAGTTGTAAAGAAAATACAGCAGTTGTTAACGGAACCCGTTGTACGCTATGGGGCGTTGTTTTTGCAAAAACAGAAAGTACATACTGGTTTGTAGAAAAAAAACCCTGTGAAACACAGTCACGGGACTGTTTCCCTGTATAAATGTTGCCGAATGCCCCCAACGCAATCACCTGACCGTGGGGAGAGGGATGCTTTGAATGACTTGGAATCTGTGTCATGGGTCCCCTTTTTCAGTGTTTTCCTGGCTCTGGAAAGCAGAAAAACCGCTTTATTTTCAGACCTGAGGTTTCCCTGAGGCGTTAGCCCGAGGCATGTCTCAGAATTGGTGGCAGAACTCAATTCAGCCAGAAAACTTGAGTTTGGACCCAGAGCTCAGATTTGAAAAACAAACACATTTTTGTGTTCCCCTGGGTCTGGAAAGAAGAAAAAAAACCACTTCATTTTCAGATCCGAGATTTCCCTGAGAAGGCAAAAAGTCGAGGACTCTCTGTGAGGATTTCCTCCCACTTGGAAACCTCTCAAATCCACCTTACTTCTGCCTGTCCTAAATCTCATCCTGTTCCACTTCATGTCTAATTTAAGCCAGGGATCAGTGACATGTTACTCTGAGCATCGAGATGTCCACCATATCCCTAGGCATCAGCTGTAGGCCCTGAATATTAACTTTTTAGTGAATAGAATGGTACAATCACAGAGTTGGAAGGAACAATGGAGGTCTGCTAGTCCATCCCCTTACTCAAGCAAGAGACCCTACACCATTCTGTACAAACGGCTGTCCAATCTCTTCTCAAACGCCTCCGCTGATGGAGCACGCGCAACTTCTATTCCACTGGTTAATTGTTCTCCCTGACAGGAAATTTCTTCATTATTAGTTTCCGTCTGTCGCTTCTTGTCTTGCCTTCCCTGCTTTGGAGAACAGGTTGACGTTGCCTTATTTGTGGCACCCCCTCAAATATCGCAAGACAGCTGTCACGGCATGGCAGTCTTTGTAAGGGCAAGATTTCAGGTGTAACCTCGGAGAA